GGGGGGGGGAGGGGTTAGCGAGACGACGGAAAAGAAAGAAAATGTGGTAGGGTTATTTTAAACTAAAAAAAGATGCATAAATCCAGTGGAAGATCCCGAAAAGAGGAAGAATCGAGTTTTATGTCGAAGGGGACTCTTGGGCGAAAATGCATGAATCGTGAGCAAATTTATGTTTAGGGCTCCAGAGCCCCAAGTACATACTTTTGTTCCGAGAGGAACAGACTCCTCTCTCCCTCCCTCTCTCCCCCTCCTGTGTCTCTCGTCTCTGATCCGCCTTGCTTCCCTCCTCTCGCAGCAAACATCACCGCCAGCCCCCAAAACTTTCGGGCACTGCCCTGATTTTTATTGTGCTGCCTCCATCTATACCGCTGCATGATGCTGCTGCTGCTGCTACTGGTTGCTGCTGCGACTGCTGCTGCTGCACACTTTTGTCTTTTCCCCAACCCTCTCGCTCACTTCGTCGCCCTCTCTCTCTAGTGCCGTCGCGGACAAGCACGGACGAACGAACAGTAAGCAGTTCTACAAGGTTGGCCGGGTAGTTTATGGGCTGTCCCCTTACCTGTGGGGGAGTAAGGGCACTCCTTTCGAGTCGAGACGTCGGGAGGCTGGAGGTTGTTGTTGTTGCCGCTGATGCTGCGTGTGTTGTCTCTCTCTCATCTCCTCTCGTTTTTTGACACAAAAAGAAGGACAACTAGACCACGTTTTTTTTATCATCATCAGCCTGCCTGACTGAGTGGCGACCGTGACGCACCATGGCGCCAACATTCAATGTCGAGCTGGCGTGGGTCAAGCGTGCTATTGGCAGAGCCCGCCTTGCTGCTATTCGTTCACTACGTAAGCGTATGTACGCATGCCATCACATCATCATCGTCAAAGACACCCTCAGTTATTGGCTTGTTTCGCCATATTTTTTGGCTGGACAACCACCGCAGCCCCCTGCCCAACACCAGCTGGCCCATCTTGTATTGGCACAGGCCAACAGTTGTGTGATTTTATCCGGTGAAGAACCATTTTTGAGTTTTATTTGACGGGGGTGCTGGACCAAAAAATGCATTAAGTGCCGAAACGCCCAAAAAAGTCCACCCGGTCCATCAGTCGAGTTTTAAATACCTCTAGTCGTTAGACCATAGAGCTCGCAGGCTGGGGCGGAGTGATATGCCGTGTTTTCGCTGGCCCAGGCTGCGCTTGACAAGGGTGAACCAGCAGTTGGTCATTATGCCTTGCGTGTGCTGTGCCAAACCTTGAGGGCGGGGGGCGTAAGTGAGCCTGCCGTGTCGTAGCTTGTTTGTTGTCCTTTGATTGATGATTCTGCGTTGTTCTAGGACTGTTCTCTCCGAGCGAGAACCGTTTTGGTCGTGTCACACCGCGGTCATTCCACCTCTTTTGCTTCTGTCTGTCTGTCTCTCCCTCGCACCCTATCTCTCTCACATACTTCCACACCGCAAGAGGCAGGAAATCAGCCTTCTCCCGTGCTCGGAGATTTCTTGTGTGTAGTTAGCTGCTGCGGGCGTTGCCCAGGCGTGGTTCTTGAACGGCCTTGCGTTGCTCGTCACATCGCAAGTATCCACTGCTGTGGCCTGCTGCTGTGGAGGTGATGCTGAAGGTACTTCTTCAAAACATATTTGCCAAACCATCTGAACGCAGGGTCGTGAATGGAGATGACGAGGGTTTCAAGCGCTACATCGTGCTCTACATCATCCTGTCGGCCATCACGGGCACTATTGGAAGCGTTCAACGTCTGTGCTTCCGCCTGGCCGGCGTCCGGATAGCCATTGGTGCGCGGAACAAGCTCTTTCGGGGTGTCATATCGCAGGTGCGGCAGGCATTGGTTGATCGGAAATGCGTGTCTATCCCCCCCGTGGTGGTAGTAGTTGTTGGTTTAGTCGTGCGTTTACTATCCTTGACGGTTTATTGTGGCAAGGCATGGGGAATCGGAGGATATTCTATGATGCAGCGGCAGAGCCCACATAAGATTTCCGAGCACCTTGCAGTCCCTTCATTATCAACCCGAGCTCTGCCTCAACTCCCCCCCCAGCTGGTGCCCTACCTTTGAGTTGTCCTGTCTCTCTCTGTTGTTTGGTATCCCGCATGGCTATCCTTGATCGATGCACTTACTCCACACGTCAAACCGCTTCGTCCATACGTCCAAACGTCCCGCCCGTCAACCAGGACGTGGCGTTCTTCGAAGGGACCACAACCGGGAAGCTCACCTCCCGCCTCACGAGCGACGTGAACGCGATGGTGAGGTATTATGCTTGTTGGTGGTGATGATGGTATTGGGCGATGTTTTGGATGGTGTTGTTAGTGGCTTTGTTCCTTCTTTTGCCCTCACCAAACCGCATTTTGTCGTGTTCACATCACACACGGGATTGACATGTACACCCTCCAAGTCCTGTGGTGATGGACGGTTGGCAGCATCGTCTCTCACCGTCGTTGGTGTCACAGCATTATAGAGTATCCCATTTACTCGCCGAACGACCCATGGTATCTTTCAGCCCCGCCTACGCTCTATATGAGAGATGCCAACGCGATGGCTTGCGCAAGCACCGAACAGCCATCTGAAGGACACGGCATTTGACCCAAGGCCTCTCGGGGCCTCTCGAAACGGTCGGCTCTCAACACGCGATCTACCCTTACACTATACCGTGTATACTTGTAGCACGCCGGGGCACCGTCAAAGGCTGTGGAAGCCACGCTACATCCTGTTTTGTAGTAGACCTCCCCTCCCTCGGTGTTGACACGCATCAAATTGACGGTTTTGAAGAGCGTAGTCGTACCGCCGCTAGAGTACGCCGGAGAAGTATGGGAAGGAAATAAGAAGGTAGTGAAAGAACTCGAGGCGGCGCAGATGAAAGCAGCGAAAATCATCCTTTGGATGCTCCAAGCGCACAAGTAATGCAGCCGTCAGGGCAGAATTGGGGATCCAATCCCTACGGTCGGGAAGAGACGCGAGGAAGCTGACATGGCAGTATCGCATGTGCGGGATGGAAGAGGAGAGGTTGCCGAGAATTGTATGGGAGGCGAAGTGGGCAAACAAAAAGAGGGGTAGACAACCCACGGAATGGGTCAAGGTTGTAGAGGACGTATGGAAGGGGCTCGACATCGACGAAGATGAAACGCTGGAAACGGAGGGTCTACAGGGGTTCAAGGAGAAGATATCTGTTGCTTGTGCCGAGAGAGAAGAACAGAATCTGAGGAAAGAATCCAAGGATAAGGAGGGTCTAGAAGTGTACGGAATGTTGAAGGAAGGAATAGGGTTCAAGGACTACCTACATGGACCAATGGATGCAGGAACAAAGCTTAAGGTCAAATTCAGGACCGGGGACATAGGCCTTCGAGAACGTCGACGAAGACATAGGACGGTAGACGAGGAAGACGACGAGTTCAAATGTGATTGCGGCTTCGAATGCGAAGACCGTGTTCATGTAGTCGCGGAATGTCCGTTGTACAAGAAGGAGAGGGAAGTGTACGTGACTGAGCTGGGAAAAATAGATGGAACGTACAGGGAGATGTTTGAGGCATGGAATAGAGAGGAAAGGACGGTAGCTGTACTGGGGCATAGGAGGTGGGTTGAGAAGGCGGGAAGGGATCTCGATCGGATAGACAGACTAGGGAAGACATGTTTGAACCACCTTTGGCAAAGTAGAAAGGAACGATTGGCCATCGGTGATCGGTCCTGTGGGAACAATGCTCCGTCCTCTCGAGGA